AAGGAGTGGGTATTGAAACATTGTTATGACTGAGACCAAATCAGCTTTGTAACAGTGTATCTCATGGTTATTAAATAAACAGGTTACTCAGGAGATAACCTGACCTGGGGACCACCCCCCCCAGTGCTGCCAGGACAACCCATTACTGCAGGAGCACTGCACCATAAGTCCTGATGAGTATCATTAGAACTGGAATGGCTAGGACTGGGTCTGGGTCTGGGGTCCACTGGGCACAGCCCGTAAAAGCGAATAAAAAGAAAGGGTTGTTGAGGCCAGGGAGGTAGTATAAAGAGGTACTACAGCAGGTAAGGTGATTGCCCTCCACTCACCTCAACAACGTTCCCAGGCTCTGCACTCCACCACATGCAAGGCAAGTGCCTTATCTATCTCTCCAGGCCTTATCTGTCCTATCTCTCCAGGCCCCACTTTTTTTTTTAGAACAAAGTTTATATGAATGTGAGGACTGAGGTGTAACAGTGAAGGAAAGATTTGATAGAGGCACAGGAAAAGGTAGAAAGTGGGAAAATCACTTGAGAACTGTATTTCCTGCTAATGCATAATCTATGAGACATATAACATTATCCAACTGAAAAAAAAAAACTGAAGATACAGTTTCATGGCAAAGCTCATACTTAGCTTGTATGAGGCCCTGATTTAATCCCTGCCTCAGAGAGACTGAGGAAAAGGAGACATTAAGATAAACTGGACAGAGAAGGAATTGAGAAATAGAAAGGGAAATGAAGATAATTATATTAGGGAATATCAGTGGGGAGCTGGGATGGAATCAGATGGATATTAGCTAGAACAGCAAGTCAGAAATCATTTAGGCAGGGCTGGAGAGACAGTACAACAGGTAAAGCACTTGCCTTGCATTTGGATAAGCTGGATTCAATCCCTGGGATCCCTTATGGTCCTTGGAGCCCCACCAGTAGTGATCCCTGAGTGCAGAGCCAGAAGTCATCCCTGAACACAGCCAAGAGAGAGTGGCCCAACAACAACAACAACAATAACAGCAACCAAGATTTAGACAAAGTTCTCCTGAAACAGAAGAGGAAGGGTAATTGGGGGTTGAGAGGAACAGGAGCGTGATGTCTACTTCCTCTTCTGTGAACATTTCTCAGATCGGCATTTGCTTATTCATCAAGCCCAGCATTGTGCCAGGCTCTGGGCTTCTGTTCTTCCGACCTTCACAGTCTAACGGGAAAGAACGGCTGTGAACAAGTAATGACAGACTTGTGACTAGGGTGGAATGAACAGCAGTGCCCTACTAACTTTACTAGAGAAGGGAGAATTGAAAGTGGGTTTCTAGACATTTCTAGAGGAGAGTAGATCTGGGAACATAAAATGGGAGAATGCTTAGCAGAGAACATACTTGCAGAGTCTAGAGACAAAACAGAAACACAGCTTGATTGGAATCTCCCTTTTTAAAGATTGTCAGATGAATCTTTGTTCAAACTAGATACAAACGTACCTAGACTAGATATAAAAATGTATCTAAATGAGATACAAATGTATATAGAATAGATGTAAATGTATACACAGATGAGATTCAAATGTATATAGACATTCTTATTTAAGGATGTCTTTTTTGTTTGTTTCTTTCTTTCTTTCTTTCTTTCTTTCTTTCTTTCTTTCTTTCTTTCTGGGTCACACCTGGCATGCACAGGGGTTACTCCTGGCTCTTCACTCAGGAGTTATTCGTGGTGGTGATCAGGGGACCATATGGGATGCTGGGAATCAAACCCGTGTGCCCTACCCGCTGTGCAATCACTCCAGCCCTTTTTTGTTTGTTTATTTTTTTATTTTGGAGCCACACCTGGTGGTGCTCAGGGCTTATTCTTTTTTTTCTTTTTTCTTTTTGGGTCACACCCAGCTTTACACAGGGGTTATTCCTGGCTCGTGCACTCAGGAATTAATCCTGGCGGTGCTTGGGGGACCATATGGGATGCTGGGAATCAAACCCGGGTCGGCTGCATGCAAGGCAAACGCCCTACCCCCTGTGCTATTGCTCCAGCCCCCTCAGGGCTTATTCTTGTGCTTTCTCCTGACTCTGTTTGTGCTCAGGGACCACTCCTGGTCGGCTCAGGGGACCTTCTCTGGTGCTGGGGATCGAATCCAGCTCTCCTCACTGTACTACCTCATTGGCCCCCATAAGCTTAAATGTAATTTTTTTGGAGGGGGTTCCCAAATGACACGCAGGAGGTACTGAGACCTCTTCACAAATCTTGGTGTTGCTCAGGCTCTGCCAGGCAATGCCCGCCTGGCAGCACTGGTGGCCTTCAGGGCTACAGCCTAGCAGTGCTAGGAATTTAACCCTTGCAGTGCACATGATAGACCTGAGCTCTAACTACTGTACTATACCGTGTCTGGACCCTTTAAATGTAAGTTCTGTGGGGTTGGGGAGATAGTACAGGAATAGAGTGCTTGCTTACTATGCATTCAACTGACCAGTGTTCAATCCCCCCCACCCCCACATACACCCCATATGGTTCCTTAAGCATGCCAGAAGTGATTCTGGAATGCAGAGCAGGAATAATCCCTGAGCACAGCTGTGTGTGACCCAAAAACAACCAAAAAAGTAATTCTGGGGTCCAAACAATAGTACAGCGGGTAGAGCATTTGCCTTGCATGCAGCCAACCCAGCACCCCATATGGTCCCCTGAGCTCACCAGGAGATCCCTAAGCATGGAGGCAAAAAAAGAAAAGAAAGAAAAAGAAAAACTAATTTGTGCGTGTGTTTGCATGCTCATGTGCACACAAGCAGCACCTGGCAATGCTGAAGGGCTACTCTTTACTCTGAGTTCAGGTATCCCTCCTGGTATTGCTAGGGGGTTGTATGGTGCCACAGACTGAACTCAGGCCTCCTACATGCAAAGCTTGTGTTTCAACCTCTTGAACTATGCCTCTAGCTCTTAAATGTAATTCTTAAATGTAGGGGCTGGAGCAATAGCACAGTGGGTTGGGCATTTGCCTTGCACACAACCAGCCTGGGTTCGATCCTCGGCATACCATATGGTCCCCCGAGCATCACCAGGAGTAATTCCTGACTGCAGAGCCAGGAGTAACCCCTGAGCATCGCTGGGTGTGACCCAAAAAGAAAAATAAATTCTGTAGGGTCAAAGAGATAACATAAGACATGAACCCACTTGCCTTGCAATGCAGCCAAACCCAGCATGGTCCCCCCAAGTACCATTGGGAGCAAGCCTCAGAGTACACAGCCAAGGTTGTAGTCCTCAAGTGCCACTGGGTATGGCCACAAAACTAAAAATGTGAGCAAAATATATAATTCTATAGAACACAGGAATTTGAAAGATATTAAGCAAGTGATTCAGATATATTTGGAAGATAACTGGCAACTTATGGGAAAAAAATGGTCGAATAATTTAGAAACCCTTTCAAATATTCCTGAAAACAATTCATGAAAAAAAAGTATTAGCATCTTGAAATGAAGCTGTGATAATAAGAAATGGAGATGTGGGGTGAAGAGATAATACAGTGGGTAGGGCAATTGCTTTGTATGCAGAGGACCCATGTTCTGGCCCTGGCAGCCCATATGGTCCCCTGAGCATCACCAGGAATGATCTCTGAGTGCAGACCCAGTAAGACTGGGCACCTTGTTTTGTTTTGTTTTTTGCTTTTTGGATCACACCCAGCAATGCACAGCGGTTACTCCTGGCTCTGCACTCAGGAATTACTCCTGGCTGTGCTCAGGGGACCATATGGGACGCTAGGAATCGAACCTGGGTTGGCCGCATGCAAGGCTAATGCCCTACCTGCTGTGCTATTGCTCCAGCCCCGACCTGGAGTGTGGACCAACCCCTCTCCCGCATAGAGATGTGGGGAAGAATTTGAGATATCTAAGATCTAATTAGCACTTAATGCCACCTGCCACTTAGCCCTGTAATTTATTCCTTCCGAAGTCATAGATGAGCAATGGCGTTTTTACCTTTGAATGTTCAGTTCATCCTTTTTTTTTTTTTTTTTTTTTTTTTTTAGGCCGTACTGGCAGTGTTCAGGGTTTACTCCTGACTCTGTATTCAGTGATTATTCCAGGTGGGGCTAAGGGGATCATATGCCTGGGGTTGAACTTGGGTGGGTCAAGTACAAGGCAAGCACTTTACCCATGATACTATCTCTCCAGACCCCCTGGGTCAACGAATTTTAGAATATAATACTGGAGAGGCTGGAGCAATAGTATAACGGGTTTGCTTGCCGCTGACCTGCGTTCTCTCCGGGGCACCCCATATGGTCCTCCAGGAGTGATACATAAGCATAGAACCAGGAGTGAATCTTAAGCATTGCCAGGTGTGGCCAGAACCCCCCACCCCCAATAACAAATAAAATAAAATACTGGGGCCGGAACGATAGTAGAAAGAACAGCAGATAGGGCGCTTGTCTTGCACGTAGCTAACAGGTATTCAATTGCCAGCATCCCATATGGTTCCCCAGCCCTCAAGGAGTGATCCCTGAGCACAGAGCCAGGAGTCAGTCCTGAGCACCGCCGGGTGTGACCCAAATAAAATAATAAAACAAACTAAAATAAAAATGAGGAGAGCAGCGTGAAGATCAGAAGCGAGAACTGTGTGAGGAGAGTTCCTCGAAAATGCAATGCCTTAAATCCGTGGGCAAGAGTAGGAAGAAGCATCTCAAGAGTCATTTCCTGTCTCTTACCGGCAAGCCCCTAAATTCCTCTTTCCCCCTCGTGCCAGGCGCGAGCGCGCGGGTAGGCTTTTCCCGGGACTCCCGCAGGACTCCCAAGCCGCCCCCGCCTCCCCACGCGCCTCAGTGTTCAGTGGCCGGCCGCGGGTCAGCAGAGGCCACGCCCTCCCGGGGGGCTCCCGCGGCCTGTCCCCGCCTCCTCCTCGCCCCGCGGAGGACCGCGTCAGGCGCGAGGCCACGCCCACCGCGGGGTCCCGCCGACGCCCGCCTCGTCGGCGCCGGCCCCCGGTTGGCTCTCGGCAGCCCCGCCCCGCCCGGCCGGGCCTTCGCGCGGGCCTCGCCAGGGGGCGCCGTGCACCCCGCCGGCCGCCGGGCGGAGAGTCTGTCGCACACACCCCCTCCGCCCCGCGCGCCGCCAGTTCCCAGCCGACTACGCCTCCGCTCCCCGCCCGCCGGGCTGCGCCGGCTCCGACTCCGGGAGGGGTCGGGGGTCCCGGATGGCCGCGGCGGGGTCCCGGAGGCCAAGCGTGTGAGCCAGCGGGCGTCATGGAGGCAGAACCGCGGCCGACCACGACGCGGACCAGCGACGGAGCGACCCCCGGGCTGGAGGCGGCACCCCCCGCTGTCCCGGCGCCGGCGACCGCGGCGGCGGGTCCGATCCCCGGCTCCGGCTCCGGACCCGAGCCCAAAAGGAGGCAGCTTGGGACGCTCCTCCAGCCCACGGTCAACAAGTTCTCCCTTCGCGTCTTCGGCAGCCACAAAGCGGTGGAGATTGAGCAGGAGCGGGTCAAGTCCGCGGGGGCTTGGATCATCCACCCCTACAGCGACTTCCGGTACTGGGGGCCCGGCAGGGGGGAAGGGGCTGCAACTCCCACCCCACCCCCCCGAGCTGCGACACGGTGCTGGGGGTGCCCCGCCCGCCCCCCTTTACCCCGACATGGTCACTTCTTTTCCGGCCCAGGGGTCCCCGGGTGGGGCAAGTCATCCCCCCAGCCTTGCTTGGGAATTTTTGAGCGAGGGATTTCCCTCCCGCCGGAGGTGCGGGGAAGGACAAGCGGACACTGAAAGACCTGAATATCCCGATCCAGGAGCCTGGCATCCCACCTGGACTGCAGGAACTGGATTTAGGGACCCCTGCCTGCCTCCTCCAGTCCTGCTTGCTGGGGAACTGGGCAGTTATACCTTCTTCCAGGGCTGGGGGCCTGCCAGAGGGAGAAACCTAGTTCCTGCGTCCCCCTTCCCCCCACTGCCAGCCCCTGCCCAGTTCAGCAGGGCAGCCCGCTGGGGGGAAATGGGGACGCTGGGAGGGGCGAGGAGGGTGTCTAAGGAGCTGTTCTGGTCGCTGTCCCTGGTGCTGAAGGCGGGCTGTGGCAGGGCCGGACTGGGACGCCCAGGAGATTGTGGCAGCAGCGCCCCCTGAGAAGGCCACCGCCCAGGTGACTGCCCGGGAGAAGGGACAAGAGGTGGGGGTGGGGCCCTCCTACCGTCCCCATCCTGCTGTACCTCTCCATCAAGGTCGCTAGGGGAGGAGTGCAGGCCTGTCCTTGGGGGAAAGGAAGGACAGCTGTGGGGTGAGGCAGGAACGTGTGTCAAGCCTCTACCTAAGCAGGGGGAACAAACTGAGGTGTGAGCCAGGAGCCTGGAGACACAAGTGCGACCTAGACATCATCTCACCAGCCCAGACACAAACACTCCCTGGATGGCCCTCTCTCTCTCCCCATTGTTTCCCACTTCCCTCCTCTCTGCTGCCTCCTTCCCACCGGGCAGCTCGCCTTTTGCAGTCTACTGTTCTTCCCCTGTGCACAGCACCCCCCACCTCAGACGTATCCCATAGAAGCCACGTCGCCCCTTGGCGGGCCTCTGTCCTCTGTATCAGCCGCCAGGCTTGTGACCGCCTGTGAGTCAGGCTGTGAAGATGCTCTGGGGCTAGGCAGACCTCTCTGTCGCCTCTCCCAGCCCTCATACAGGATTCCTCCAGCAACCCAGGAGGAAGAAGTGAGAGCTGAGGGCTCGGAGATGGGGAACATGCAGGCAGAGGGGCCTCCTGGAGGTCTGAATTTAGGGCTCCCCATGCTTCCTTTAGGGGCTGAAAAGATGGATGCTAAGGTGAGTGGGCAGGGTCTGGCTTCTGGGTTGCTGGGCACCCAGGTATATCCTGGAACTACAGATGCTGTAGGCGGTGGAAGTGCCAGGGTTGTTTAGTGATTCCTCTTGGCTCTATCCTGATTCCTTCCTGGTCTCGGTGTCCTCCCACTGCCCTGCCCCCCAGGGGTAGCCCCCCTCCACACTTGCCCTTGCCTAGGCTCCGCCACTTTCCCAGTGGGCACAGGGAAATGAGGAGAGGGAAGGATTGTGGTAAGTGGCGAAGTCTCACTGCCCCCAGGTTCTCCTATTTGCTACTCTCACAGGAGCCCTGGGTGGGGGATCCCAGAAAGGCTGGGTTCACAGAGAACACAGGACACGCCGCCCGTGCCCCCAGTACAGATAAGCAGACCCCAGCAGAGGAACAGCAATAGGGGTCAGCTGTGCTGGGGAGAGGCAGAGTGAAGGGATGGAGGTGGGTGGGGCATGGAGTCCTAGACTAGCAATGGGCAGAGAGAACTGGAGATGGGAACAATCTGGGATAAAGAGTGGGTGAGTCATAGCACCAACTAGTGCTTTATTGCTCTGTCACTTCCATTGTTTCTGTGTATATTTTTCAACAACCCTGTGACATTAGCAAAGGGTATTTTATTATTTTTTCCTTGTAAAATATTTAAGGGCCAGAGAGATAGTTTAGGGGTTAAGACACTCACCTTGCAGCCCACTGAACTTGTTGCAAATCCCTGGGACTTCCAGGGATCACACCTGAACACAGAGCCAGGAATAGCCCATGAGCACCACTGGATGTGGCCCCAAGCCCCTATCCCCCAAATATTTTCACCCAAAATATTTAATGATAGTAATAATATGCATGTATGTGTATACTGACATTGATCGTGCATATGCAGATATACGTAAAGGTTTGGTATTAGTAAAGGATATGCAGCACTGTGGCACTGTAGCACTGTCCTCCCATTGTTCATTGATTTGCTTGAGCAGGCACCAGTAACGTCTCCATTGTGAGACTTGTTGTTACTGTTTTTAGCATATCGAATACGCCCTGAGGAGCTTGTCAGACTCTGCCGTGCAGGAGGGAAACTCTCCATAGCTTGCCGGGCTCTCCGAGAGGAACGGAGGAATCCAAATAGGGTCGGCTGTGTGCAAGGCAACTGCCTTACCCGCTGTGCTATTGCTCCTGTCTATATTAAGACAGCAAGTTGGTGTCAGAACCAAAGCCCCCTACTACTCATACTCTTTCCCCAAACCTACTGTTCTAACTTTTTTTGGAGGGGCCATACCCAGAAATGCCCAGGGGTTACTCCTGACTCTGCACTCAGGAATTACTCCTGGTGGTACTCAGCTGACCATAGGGGTGCTAGGGACTGAACCCAGTTAGCTATGTGTAAGACAAACTCCCTACCCACTATACTGTCTTTCCAGCCCACTCTTCTAACTTTCACATTGTGCACTTCCTTATCTTCATAGTTTTCCAATAGAGCAGTTTAGTTTGGCCTGTTTTTGAACTTCTTTAAAAGTGAAAAGCATCCAACATGTGTCATTTTGTTTCTTGTTTCTTTTGTTCAGTGTTATGTAGCTGCAGTTGGCCCGGGGCGGGGTCTGCAGTTATTTAGTATTCTGGGGCATTGCATCCATCACAGTGTATACAGTTTTTATGTTTGTCTTGTTTATCTACATGTTTATACTGACGAACATTTGGGTTGTTTCCAGATATAATGCTGCTATTCTTGTATGTGTTTCCTGGAGCACATGTAGAGAAACCTGGGACTGGAATTGCAGGGTTGCAGGAAAATGCACATTTTAAACTTCACTAGATCTTGTTAAACTGTTTTCCCAAATGGTCCAGATGGTGAAGTTACACTCCTATGCACTGTTGTCTCTCCCTCTCTCCTTTCCTCCCTGTTTCCTTCCTACTTTCCTTCCTTCCTCCTTCCCTCTTTCCCTCCCTCCCCTTTTCCCTCTCTCTCTCCTTCTCTCTTTCTTTCTTACTACCTTTGATGGTGGTCTGGGACTACCTCCATCTTGGTGCCTGGGAATTTCTCCTGTCCATGCTTAGGGAAGCATGCTGTGCCATGGACCAAACCAGGCCTCCTGCATGCATAGTGTGTCAAGTCTGTCAAACTGTGTTTTTGTTTTTGTTTTCGGCCCCATTTCATTATCTTGAATCCTTGTGTCCTTGTCCTGATCATTGATCACTGTGCCAGACTACTTGTCGTCCAATGGCTGGTGAAATGGTGCTCTTACTCCCATCCCTCTTCCACCTTAGGTTTTACTGGGACCTGATCATGCTCCTGCTGATGGTGGGGAATCTCATTGTGCTGCCCGTGGGCATCACCTTCTTCAAGGAGGAGAACTCCCCGCCCTGGATTGTCTTCAATGTCCTCTCTGATACCTTCTTCCTGCTGGATCTGGTGCTCAACTTCCGTACAGGCATCGTGGTTGAGGAGGGGGCTGAGATACTGCTGGCCCCACGAGCCATCCGCACACGCTATCTGCGCACCTGGTTCCTGGTGGACCTCATCTCTTCCATCCCCGTGGATTACATCTTCCTAGTGGTGGAGCTTGAGCCACGTCTGGATGCCGAGGTCTACAAAACGGCGCGAGCACTGCGCATCGTGCGTTTCACCAAGATCCTCAGCCTGCTTCGGCTGCTCCGCCTCTCCCGCCTCATCCGCTACATCCACCAGTGGGAGGAGGTGGGGTGGGGAGGTGGGCAGGGGGGGCTGAGTGACTCCCCAGAACAGAGCTGGGGGGCAGGTGGGCCAGCCCTCCAAAGATGGGCTCCCTCTGGGATTGGTGGCAGAGGACCAGGCTTTAGAGGAATGGGAATGCTGAGGATGTCCATGCCATGGATTGGTCAAATGCTTGGGACTCCCTTAGACTCTAGTAGAAAGATGAAGAGGAGGACTAGGAATTGCAGGAATAGAAGCAGCTGGGAGTCTAGCTGCAGGGCGGCAGAGTTGACTGGTTCCTGGGCTCCATAATCTCGTTGCCTGTGGTTAGATGCAGTTTGTTTTGTCTTAGTTTGATTTTTTTTTGAACCACACCCAGAAGTGCTCAGGGGTTACTCCTGGCTCTGCACTCAGAGATCACTCTTGATGGGGCTCAGGGGACTGTATGGGGTGTTGGGAATCAAACTCAAGTAGGCCAGGTGCCAGAACCCTGCCACTGTTCTATTTCTCCAACCCTAGAATGAGAACTTGAATTATACTTATGTATTATAAGGTGATCAGAATTAAGGGAATAAATATCTATTAAGAACTTAGAACAGGGGGCTGGAGTGATAGCACGGTGGGTAGGCATTTGCCTTGCATGCAGCTAACCGGGTGCGATTCCCAGCATCCCATATGGTTCCCCCGAGCACCGCCAGGAGTGATTCCTGAGTGCACAGGAGTAACCCCCGTGCATCGCTGGGTGTGACCCGAAAAGCAAAAATAAATAAATAAATAAAACAAAAAACCCCCCAAAACTTAGAACAGTGCCCAGCACATAGTAAATTCTCAGGACATTACCTGTAATAGTAATTATTGGAAAGGCAGTACTCTATACAGATGCCCTGGGGACATCACACTATGAATGCCTACCCTTTTTAGTCTACAACTGTTCAGCTTCTACCGTAGCCTGTTTTGTTTCTGCTGTAACAATGTAGATTCTGGGCACATGATTGGCATCAGTTTTTCTATTTGTAAGAAGAGAACAAAATCCGGAGTTGGAGTGATAGTACAGCAGGTAGGGTGCTTGCCTCACACTAGACCAACCCAGGTTCGATCCTAGGCATCCCATGTGGTCCCCTGAGCCCACCAGAAGTGATTCCTGATTATAGAGCCAGGAATAACCCTTTAGCATCACCGGGTGTGCTTCCCCCCATCAAAAAAAAAAAAAAAGAGTAAAATCCAGGCAAACAGTAGAACCAGGTAGATTGCATATTTTACACGTCCAATCCCTAGATTCGCCCATCGCTCATCTAGGTGTAGCCTAGAAAAACAAAAAACAGTAATAATACTTTTAATTTTTTTTCTATGCTGCGAGGTTCGATACAAAGGAGTAATAGTTACTTTGTTTAAATATGTGAAGGGGGGGGCTAGACTGAAGTTCAAGGAGAGGACCTTCTAGGTTGGTACTGTAAGGGGAGCAGTGGAGAGGGGTTCGCGGCCACAGCAGCCCCTGCTCGGACTCCCCAGATCTTCCACATGACCTACGACCTGGCGAGCGCCGTGGTGCGCATCTTCAACCTCATCGGCATGATGCTGCTGCTGTGCCACTGGGATGGCTGCCTGCAGTTCCTGGTGCCCATGCTGCAGGACTTCCCCTCCGACTGCTGGGTGTCCATCAGCCACATGGTGGTGAGCGCAGCCCCGCCCCTGTGGGCTTTCCCCAAAGGCTCCGACCCGGTGCCACGCCTCCGCTGGGTCTTCCAAGGACCCGCCCCCTGCGGTCCTTCCCTTGGGACTCCGCTCCCGGACTCGGCCCCCGGACCCGCCCCTGAAGTTCTCCCCAAGCCCCGCCCTCTTCCGACCCAACTCTGAGAATTCTCCGGAGCTCCTCCCCAGGCCCCCGCCCACCCTCGCACTTCTCTCTGGGATCTCCCTGGAGGTGCCCGCTGATGGTGAGAGGAACAAGAGAAATCAGGAGTGGAGAATAGGGTGAGGGCAAAGACACTCAGGATGTACTTATTCGGAGGGAGCAAGCCTACCCCACAAGCCGTCCCCAGGGCCCCAGGGTTAAAGTAGGACTGAAAGAGAAAAAGGGGGATCCGGGTGGGAGAGATAGTACAGAGGGGAAGGCTCTTGCCTTGCTTGCCACCTACCCTAGCTCCATCCCCAGCACTGCCAAGGGCCCCTTCAGTCCGGCCTTGGAGTGACTCCTCAGCACAGGGCCACCCCGAGCACTGCTGAGTGTGCTCCCAAAACCAAAAGAGAAAAGAAAGGTGGGGGGTAGGAGGAGCAGAAGGCTCTGTGGGGCCTTGCCCACCTGTGCCCTATACTCTTGCACTCCAGAATCACTCGTGGGGCCGCCAGTACTCCCACGCCCTGTTCAAAGCCATGAGCCACATGCTGTGCATCGGCTATGGGCAGCAGGCGCCAGTGGGCATGCCGGATGTGTGGCTTACCATGCTTAGCATGATCGTGGGTGCCACATGCTACGCCATGTTCATCGGCCACGCAACTGCACTCATCCAGTCCCTGGACTCCTCACGACGCCAGTACCAGGAGAAGGTCAGCAGGGTCAGGGAGGAAAGGGGGAGTTTTGACGGGGGGAGGAGGGGTGGTTCCCGGAGGGTGGCTGGGTGGGCTGGGGGCTCCACTTGAAACCCCCTTCTGACCTGGGACCTTTTGGGTCTCTTTCTTTGCCCTGTGTCACTGTGCCCTTGTGCATCTTTTCTCTGTTTGGATCTATGTTCCTGTACTTGAACGCCTACTCTGCCCGGCTGTGGATTCTCCTGTCTGCCACGCGTCTCCCCCCATCCCATGTCCATATGGCCTTCTGTGGTTCTCTGTGGCTTCTTTTGTCTCCACACTGCATGCCCATGCCTGTGACCATCCCTGCATCCCCCGACCTATGCCTGTGTCTACTGCACATTGGCTTCCCTCTCACCCCAGTACAAGCAGGTGGAGCAGTACATGTCCTTCCACAAGCTGCCCGCGGACACGCGGCAGCGCATCCACGAGTACTACGAGCACCGCTACCAGGGCAAGATGTTTGATGAGGAGAGCATCCTGGGGGAGCTGAGCGAGCCACTGCGGGAGGTGCTACGGGGCTCCCGGTGGGGGCTTCTGAGGGGGCTGCTGGAGAGGGCCTTTCAGCCAGCTGATACATGTACAGAAGTGGGTCCCTGCAGGAGGCCAGACCTTTGGGGACTTTGAGGGTATTTCTTGGATGTCTTAGGGGGTGAAGTCACATCCATGGGGGCAACAGGGATCTCTCCCTGAGAGCTTGTTTGGAGGTTCTAGCAGGGGAGCGCAGCTACTCGTATACCCTCGATGGAAGACCAGTCTATCTCTATTTGGGGAAGGTCGTCCTCTTCTACCGAGCACGCAGTTTTGGGAGGGACGCACATGGAACAGGGAGGGAGGAAGGGGACACCTGCCTAGCCAGCCAGATCAGCCGAATCAACCCTGGTGATCAGTGGGGTGACAGATATCACAGCCAGATCGCCCTCACATCCGAGATCTCTCTTTGGAGGCTGGTCCTGCAAGACCCCCTCCTTGAGGGTTTGGGACCGCCCACTGAAGCACCCCCATCCTTTGGCAGATGATGACCCCAGGGATGGGATTTTTGGAGACAAATGAGCGTGACAGAGGCACCTGGGGTGGGTGGCCTGCCTGACCGCTGTCCCCCTCCCCCTTGCCCAGGAGATCATAAACTTCACATGCCGGGGACTGGTGGCACACATGCCGCTCTTTGCCCATGCCGATCCCAGCTTCGTCACGGCCGTGCTCACCAAGTTGCGCTTCGAGGTTTTCCAGCCGGGCGACCTGGTGGTGCGCGAAGGCTCGGTGGGCAGGAAGATGTACTTCATCCAGCACGGGCTGCTCAGCGTGCTGGCACGGGGCGCACGCGACACCCGCCTCACCGACGGATCCTACTTTGGGGGTCAGCATGCCTCAGACTGGGGGTGGGATCTGGAGGGCCACTGATCCCCTAAGTCTGGGCCCCTGCCAAGTGGCTCCCTGCAGAATCACCAGGTGGCTATCAGACCCAGATGCCAAGGGTGAGAAGAGGCCTCAGCAGTGCAGTCTCTAGGGGCCTGGTACCTTGAGTCTCCCTGAAGGGGTGACTTGGGAACACAACCTTTGCAGAAGGCGGCAGCTCTGCCAGCTTCTGCCCACAAAAGTCAAAGTTCTTATAACTCTCAGGCACCCCAAACCAGCCAGTTCTCTGTACAGCCCTGCGGCCTCGGCCCGTGCTCAGATTTGGGGCGCTTACTGGCAGATCACTCGGATGCCACTCTTGGGTGGGCAAGAGCTCTGGCGGAGCTGCCCTATTCCTGGGGTTCCAGCCCTGAAGGTGGGGGAAGCACTGTGTGGAGTGGGGTAACAAATTCTGGGTTTGGGGTCAGCTTTATTTGGGGAGAGAGGACAGGGGTCAAGGGCTGGAGCACTGAGGGAACCTGGCTGGGTGGGGAGCTCAAGTATCTCCCGTGGGCAGATGCATGATGGGCCAGAGTGTTTGGGCCCTGGGCTATGCTGCTAGCCAGTGTGGGGGTCCCTGAGCGCCATTGAAGGCCTCCTCCACCCTTGGCAGAGATCTGCCTGCTGACCCGGGGCCGGCGCACTGCCAGTGTGCGGGCGGACACCTACTGCCGCCTCTACTCACTCAGTGTGGACCATTTCAACGCCGTGCTGGAGGAGTTCCCCATGATGCGCCGGGCCTTCGAGACCGTGGCCATGGATCGACTGCGCCGTATCGGTGAGGCAGCACCGAACCCCAGCCCAGCTCAGAACCTTCAGAGGCTCCTTGTGTTTTATTGAAGGGTGGGGGGACAAGGGTGGTGGCCCTCAGCAGCACTCCCTGTGCACTCGGCCCAGCGAGAGGAGCCTGACAATCGGTGAGTGACGCAGGCTGGCAATGGGGAGTGGCGATTGGGCTCCTCAGGGCCACACCTGCAGGTGCTCAGTGACTACAGGGGCTACAGTTGGCAGTGCTGGGAGGGGCTTTATCATGTGGTGGCAGGGATCTGATCCAACTGGTGACTCATGTGTCCTGCATACAGCCCAGCCCTGGAGCCATCTCCCTGGCCCCAGCTATGGGTCTTTCAGCACTAACTCCCTTACTTAATGTGGCCTGAGTCCCCCTTCCCAAGGTGCAGTCCCACTCACAGCGCTGTGGCATACCAGTCCCATTTCCCCCCACTCCCCTCGCTGCTGCCCACCCCACACGCCATCTTCTTCCCTGGCTGTGCCCTGGAGGGCCCTGACCCACCTCTCCCTCTTCTAGGCAAGAAGAACTCTGTGCTGCAGCGGAAGCACTCCGAGCCCAGCCCAGGCAGCAGTGGTGGCCTCATGGAGCAGCACCTAGTGCAGCATGACAGGGACATGGCCCGGGGTATCTGTGGCTTGGCCCCGGGCACGGGTGCGCGACTCAGTGGGAAGCCGGTACTGTGGGAGCCCCTGGTGCACGCACCCCTGCAAGCTGCCGCCGTCACCTCCAACGTGGCCATTGCGCTGACACACCAGCGGGGTTCTCTGCCCCTCTCCCCTGACTCTCCGGCCACCCTCCTGGCTCGCTCCGCACGGCTCTCAGTGGGCTCCCCGGCCTCGCCGCTGGTGCCTGTCCGCGCAGGCCCTCTGCTGGCCCGGGGACCATGGGCATCCACCTCCCGCTTGCCCGCCCTGCCTGCTCGCACCCTCCATGCCAGCCTGTCGCGGGCTGGGCGTTCACAGGTGTCCCTGCTGGGGCCCCCTCCTGGAGGAGGCTCGAGGCGGCTGGGACCTCGGGGCAGACCTCTTTCAGCCTCCCAGCCCTCTCTGCCCCAGCGAGCGGCCGGGGACGGGTCTCCGGGCCGGAAGGGCTCTGGAAGTGAGCGCCTGCCCCCCTCAGGGCTGCTGGCCAAGCCTCCAGGGACAACCCAGATCCCCCGGCCGGAGCCAGCCACTCCCCGGGGCCCACAGCTCTCGGCCAACATGTGAACCCCTGCGGGTAAGCTCTTGGGAGCAGTCGTGTGCCCCGGGATGCCATCTCTTGGGGAAGCCCAGGGGATGTGAGACACTGTCCTCAGGATGCCTCCCGGGACTGCTGAGGGCTCTGCGCCTGCCCCCTGCACAGGCCCCCTGTGGCCAGCCTGACGCCCCGATCCATTCACTGAGCCCGCGCCAGGCACTGTATGTCTGTCTCCACTGCCAAGTAGAAGTGAGTCCTAACTCCTACCAGGGTGTCCCTCAGCCAGGCCTGGGTCCCTGGTCCCACTCCACAAAGCACAAGAATCTGCCACCATCATCACTGCCAAGTCACCAGGTGTCTGCTTCCCTGTGGTGACCATGCAGGTCCTGCCAGTAACTTTCCTGTCCTCCCCCTAGCATAACTAGGCACAGCCAGTTGCCAGTGTTCCCACTGCCATCACAGATGTCCTGGGCTGAGTGTTCACCTTCACTGCCATGTGTGGGTCCCCTGCGTTGAGCCTCGCAGAGGGGGATGCCAGGCCAGTGCCCTTGTTCTCTGTCTGTGGTGGAACTGTCATTTTGTAGACCAGCACCACTGCATTCCTGCGCCCCTGCCCGTGGTGTCCTCCTTTGGCGCAAAGGGAGGGTTGTCGTCTCCTTCTTTAGTGTGCCATTAGTGGTGGAGGGGTGAGTGAACCCCTCAATGGCATTTTTATCCTTCTTCCCTGTTTAATCATCTAAAAACTGTATTGATTTATTTACTCATTTCAGGTGTTACAACTCATTTCATTGCACCCAGTCCTTAACCACCCGCTCCTAGGAGGGGGGAGCCCCACCCCAATCCCCTGTGGCCCCTCTGTGCTCCATGGGCAACAGTGCCCGTTCTTTCTCCCTCCCCAGTGGGCAGACCAGCCATCGGGGTGGGGGGAGTTTTTACCCGTGGGGGCTTCTTCCTCCTGTTGGCATCGAGGCTAGGGAAGGGCAGGCTAGCCAGCACCGCTGCTTCTCAGGGACAAGAGAACCCCCTGGACCCGCCCCGCCTTCTCCACAGCATCAGGAATGTGAGAGCTGGACCCCGAATCTCCTTTGTTCCTGGGTGGGGGCACTTGGGCCCCTGGGTATGTGGGAGTTTTACAATTGCTTCCGAGCAGCTGGGTTTAAAAATGAAAAAGAGACACTCAACTTGGCTCCTGGTTTGTGTGTGGGGACAAATGTGGGTATGAAGGAATTCCCAGGTCCAGGAGGAGGAAACAAGGTGAGGCGGTGGGGGTGGGGAGGGCGAGGACAGCTGGGGAGGCTGCAGGACGGCAGCCAGCTGAGCCCATCTGCCTCTCCCAACACCCGCAGCCACGCTGTCCCCTCTGCCGTCAGGCACAAAGCACAGGGCTCTGACGTCCCAGAGCGGAAGCCTTGTCTGGACTGAGCCCACGGGGAGGCATGGCTGTCAGAGGTGCCCAGAGGAGGAGGAGGCCACAGCCTGCCTGAAGGACCTCTACAGTCAGGCCAGGGTGGGGGCTGGATGTGGCGCCTCCCCTCAGTACCGGGCTGTGGGGCCACTGAAGCTGGGATTAAAGCTGCAGGCATCAGAGGGACAGGGGCAGTACGGCTGGTGCGACTAGGTGGCCAGCACAGCCCTGGACAGTCTTTTTAGGGCCATAGCAGGGGAGGTGAGCCTGAAATGGGGCTAGCAGGCAGATGTTGTGGGGGAGGGGCAGGAGACACATGACCTGGGGATGGGGGCGGGGCAGCTGGGACATCTCAGGACACATTCACTACTCGCATGATGTTGGTGTAGCCAGCGCCGGGCCGCCAGCCAGTCACCACGATCACCAGGTCTCCCGTGTGGAGGAAGCCACGCAGCTTTCCTGGAGTGGGGCAGAGGGATGGGGTGGGACTGTCACTGCAGTAGCTTTAGGCTGCAGGTGTGACTCCGGCTGGGCCCAGCTGTGTCAGCAGCTCTTGGGCTCCCCCATGAGCATGGCCACAGGCAATGAAGTACCAGATTTCAGGGACAGCTGCAGGACAGACCCTGCACCCTCATTTCTCTCAGCCTCTGTCCCCAGGCCACACTGGGCCACCACCTGCAGATGCCCCCTCTCTCCGAGGCCCTCCACCCATGAAGGGTCTCCACATGGCTCACCACTGTCAATGCCGAACTGCACCCGGCGGTCCACGTCGTCGGCCCACACGGGCTCTGGAGGATCACGGTAGAGCAAGGGGAAGACTCCTCGGCACAGGTGTGCCTGGCGAGCTGCCTGGGCAGAGCGTGTGATGGCAATGACGGCTGCCCGAGGGCGGTACCGGGACAGAAGCTGGGCAGAGCTGAGAGAGCAGGGAGCTCAGAGCAGGGAGAGAGCATGGGCTTGGCCCCAGACTCCACATTCTGCTCTCAGGCATCAGCCATGCACTGTGAGACCCTGAGTAAGTCACTGTGTTTCCCAGATGATGGGGGTGGGGGAACACTCAGTTGGTGCTCAGGGCATACCCCTTGCTCTGCACTCAGGGATCACTCCTGGCAAGGTTCAGGGATTGAACCGTGGTCAGCCACGTGCTAGGCAAGCTGTACTACCTCTTACCTGCTGTACTATCTCTCCTGTGACTACAATAAAATTCTGTGAAAGCCTTGACTTTATCACCTTAAAATGGGTCTAAGAGGGGCTGAGGAGATTGCTCAGTGGGCAGGAGTGCATGTTTTGCATGCAGGAGGCCTGGGTTACACCCCTGACTCTGTATGGTCCCCAAGCACTGAGCAGGAATAGGCCCTAAGCATTACTGAGTGTGGCCCCCAAACAAAACAAAAGATCCACAAGGAAGATCTGAGATAACAGGCTCCACAGCAAATGACAATGGGGAGAAGTTTTTTGAGAATCAAACCTGTCCTTTTTGAGTGGTGTGAGGGAGGGACCCTGGGCCTCACATAGGCCAGGCAAAACTCAGTCACTGAGCTACTCTTCCGGCCCTCCTCACGTCTCTCTTTCCAAACTCCCAGAGCACCCAAGGTGTCACGGCTAACTTTCAAGCACCGTCTTGAATTTAGACCTTTCTTCAGCTCTGGGCCCATATATATATATATGAAGGGTCAGGCATCAGAGGGACAGGGGCAGTATATATACTATATATATATGCAGCACTGTAGCACTGCCCTCCCATTGTTCATCAATTTGCTCGAGCGGGCACCAGTAACGTCTCCATTGTGAGACTTGCTACTGTTTTTGGCATATCAAATATGACACGAGATACTTGCCAGGTTCTGCTGTGCAGGTGGGATACTCTCGGTAGCTTGCCGGGCTCTCCGAGAGAGACGGAGGAATCAAACCTGGGTTGTCCGTGTGCAAGGCAAAAGCCCTACCCGCTGTGCTATCGCTCCAGCCCCTATATATATGTATATATACTTTTTTGGTTTAGGGGTCACACCCAGCAGGACCTGGCTTTGTGCTCAGGAGTGACCCCTGGCAGTGCTCAAGGGACTCTATTCAGTGCTAGTCCTGTGCAAGACCAGCAACTTACCCCTGTGCTAAGTCTGCAGCCAGGCTCTGGGCCCTTGTGTAAAACCTCAATATTGTGAAACTCTGTGCAGATGATTTGCTCTGGGCCTAGGGTTCCACATTGTGTGGAATCCAGTGCCCCTTCCCCCCTGCCCTGTCCCTATCCCAGTTCACTGGAATAATTCCTGGTATCCTTTGAGAACCACCTCTCCTAGTTTCTGCCCTTATTGCTGCCTTTTCTCTTGGCCCTGCACCCTACTCTTCAGCACTGATGTGACAAAACCGGAGCTTGGGGCCCTTCCCGAAACATCATGGGGCTCTCTACAACCACTCACCGGCCAGTTTTCGTCAACACAATGATGGCTGCAGCACAGCACTTGAAGGCAGCCTCCACGGCACCAATGGCAGTGACCTCAGCCAGGTCTCGGCTCAACGGGGCTGCCCGGCGCAGTTCCTCAAACAGCTGCCGGTGGTACACAGCGGCCTCGGCCTCCCGTGCGATCTGCAGGCACCAGGGGGTCAGGCTGGGCAGAGGGCAGCAGGGTTTCCAGGCCTGGGCCACCTCCCAACCCCATGCTCCCCCAAGCGCCTACCGCGTGCTGCATCTGAACAGCCTCCACAGGAAAGCTGCCCTTGGCGGTCTCACCCGAGAGCATGATGCAGTCTGCCCCATCAAGCACTGCGTTGGCCACGTCGCTGGTCTCTGCCCGTGTGGGCCGTGGCTTGGTGATCATGCTCTCCAGCATCTGGAGGAGATCTGGACATCAGAGCTGTCAGGGTCACACTCTGATCGGGTCCTTGAGGGGCTGCTCCTCTGACACCCACACTCGGTGTCCTATAAGTCAAAGATGCTCAGTATTGCTCCCTGATTTCACCCGCTGCAGAGAAAACACTGCTGGACAAAACGTGCTCAGATCTAAGGTGTGAGTCTCCCCACCCCACCCACTGGGGGATTGCCCTCCAAAGTGCCAGGTCAAGGGCTCATTCCAGACCTGTGTGGCACAGACAACGGGCTTGCCCGCCAAGTTGCAACGACCGATCATCATCTTCTGAGCCAGAAAGACCTTCTCGGCTGGGATCTCAATGCCCAGGTCCCCGCGGGCCACCATGATGCCGTCGCTCACCTCCAGAATTTCATCAAATCTGGTTGATTGAGGAGTTGGGGGTGTGGGCTCAGGGCTGGGGAAGAGGCAGGACAGGCCAGGGCCAGGCAAAGGAAAGGTAATGGGAACAGCTGGGTCAAAAGTTTGTGTCCTCTCACCTCTTCACACCTTCGTGGTTCTCGATTTTGCTAATGATCTTGATGCCCTGACCTTCAGGCCCTAGGGCAGACCGGACAGCAACCACATCGCTGGCTTTCCGGACGAAGGACGCAAAGATGATGTCAACGCCGTGCTCCACCCCGAACTGAAGGTCGCGAGCGTCTTGCTCAGACAGCCCAGGCAGATCCACCTGTGCTCCAGGCAGGTTCACCCCCTTCCGGCTGCCTAGGGTGCCTCCGTTCTCCACTTCGGTCTCCAGCCCTCTGGAGCCTGCAGTGTGGAAAAAGCCAGCCTAGGTCTGGGGGTGGGGGGGAGAGGGGGTTGGAAGAGACGGAGCCTAGCCTCTGGGATCCCTCAGGAGAGATCAAGCGCGTGTTCCTGCGTCTCTCGGTTCCACACCCTACAGGCAGGCACCTCGGGGAGAGTAGGTGAAGCAATCAAGGACTCGCCAGTCCAGCCCCAACCCAGGGAGTCTGGTTGCCCGGGAGGGTGGCACCAGGGGCCAGGCGCTCGCCTTCCAGGGCGCACAGCCCGCGCAGGGGGCGCGTCCGCACCGATTTTCCTGACCGCGAGGGAGATGAGCCCGTCGTCGATGTAGATGTGGCCCCCCACCGGCACCACCCGGACGATATTAGGGTAGTCCACCCACACGGTCTTCGCGTCCCCCCGCGTTCGGAACTCCGGGTCCACCGTCACCAGCACCGAGGAGCCCTTCACCAGCTCCACTTCCGACTCAGGGCCCTGTGGACGCGGACCGTGGGAGGCTGCAAGTTGGCCCCGCCCCAAGGCCGCCCGAGCGCCCTGCCCGCCCGGTGCCCGCCCCGCACCCGCACCGGGTTCAGTGGGGCGCGAGGCCGGATCACCCCCAGCACGAAGGTCCCCGGCCCCGTGACCAGCGTGACCCCGCCCCTCCCGGTCTCCAGCACAGCCGAGCGCCCGGCGCCCGCCTCTCACCCCCTGCAGGACCCCGGTGCGAATCTCCGGTCCCTTGGTGTCCAGGGCGATGGCCACCGGGCGGTAGCTGAGCGGGGAGGTGGCCAGGCTCTCCACCGCCTCCCGGACGTTGGCGATGGACTGAGCGTGGTACTGGGGACGGAAACGAGCCGGAGTTGCAGCGGCCCGCAGTCCCGCCCGCCTCTCCCCCTCCCCCCAGCCCCCGCCGCCCAGCCCGCACCTCGTGGGAGCCGTGGGAGAAGTTGAGCCGCGCGATGTTCATGCCGGCCTTGATCATCTCCTTGAGGCGCTCCACCGAGCGCGATGCGGGCCCTGCAACCAGAGAGCCCGCTCAGACTACATCGGTCCCCCCAAAACCGAGAGAAGCCGTCACGCCTCTCAGAGAAGACCCTCTTCCCCCGAGACCCAGAGGTCCGGTGATTTGACCTTTGTTCCTTGACACCACCTGTGGTGTGGGTGTGGGGGTATCCCAGGGTAAGAGAGGTGTGTGGGAGCCCGAGAGATAGTACCAGGTTTAAGGTGACTGGTTGCCTTGCAGGCTGCCCACGGGTCTGGTCCCAGCACCACCTATGCTCCTCCAAAGCCCAGAGCCAAGTGTGAGCCCTAAGCACTGTCTGGTCTAAGTCGGAAAAAACGAAGAGTAATGTGTAGCAGGGGATGGGTGCCAGCCGTGGGGCACAGGAGTGTTCTGTTTTGGGGCCACACCTGTAGTCCTGTCTCTGGGACTCTGGCCTCCCTCCTCTCTACTGCCTGATCCGGGCTAGGTCCTTTGCAGATTTCTTTGGATCATACTTGTCTTAAGACAAGCCGCTGGGGTTGGAGTGACAGCACAATGGGTAGGGTGTTTGCCTTGCATGCAGCCTGACCTGGGTTCAATTCCCAGCATCCCATATGGTCCCCCGAGCATGGCCAGGAGTAACCCCTGTGCATCACTGGGTATGACCCAAAAAAAAAAAAAGACTAGTCATGCCCTTCTATTTGTCAACTTTGTTTCAAAGGCCTTCATTGCAGTGCTGGGACTACCCTGGAGCTGCCCTGGAAGCCATGTGGTGTCAGGGACTGAATCCAGGTCAAGTACCCACCAGACCTTTGAACTCTCTGCTCTCTCATCTGTCAATAAAAGAAGTCTCACAGCTTTACTTATTTATTGGTTTCTTTTTACTTTCTTCTTTTTTTTTTCCTGGAGGGAATACCCATTGGTTACCCCAGTGGAACACCCAGGGCTTACCCATGGCTCTTGGCTCAGGGATCACTCCTGGCAATCCTTGGGGGACTATATGGGGTGTCAGCCTTGGGCTGGAGCGATAGCACAGCGGGTAGGGCGTTTGCCTTACAAGCGGCCAACATGGCCGACCCGAGTTCGATTCCTCCGCCCCTCTCGGAGAGCCCGGCAAGCTACCAAGAGTATTCGATATGCCAGACACAGTAACAACAAAGTCTCCAATGGAGACGTTACTGGGCCCGCTCGAGCAAATCGACGATCAACGGGAGGGCCTTTACCTTACCTTTAAACTGGTGAGCCGCATGCAAGGTAAATGCCCTACCTGTTGTGCTATCTCTCCAGCTCCTCTGGTTTCTCATGTTTTATTTCTTTTAAAATTTTTAATATTTATTTATATATTTTGGTTTTGGGCCCACACCTAGATATTCTCAAGGGTTACTCCTGGCTCTGTGCTCAGGTATTACTACTGGTTGTGCTCAGGGGACTAATAGAATGCTGAAGATTGAACCTGGGTTGGTCACATGCAAAGTAAGCATCATCTCCACTGTACTATCTCTCCAGTCCCCTTATGTTTTACTTTTTCTTCTTTTTCTTTTTTTTTTCTTTTTTGGTTACACCTGGCGATGCACAGGGGTTACTCCTGGCTCAGGCACTCAGGAACTACTCCTGGCGGTGCTCGGGGGGCCATATGGGATGCTGGGAATCGTACCCAGGTCGGCCGCATGCTAGGCAAACACCCTACCCGCTATCGTTCTAGCCCCTGTGTTTTACTTCTGATCTTGCTTTACACCCTAGGTTGCTCAGGAGCTGCAGCAGCTCTGTGCTAGGGCGTCACTCCCAGTGGTACTCAGGGAAACTTTGTGCTGCAGAGAATTGAACCCAGGCCTCCTGCATGCCAAAGCATGTGCTCCAGTCTGTTGATCTGTCTCCCTAAACCATTCTCCTGGCTTTAATTCTATCTGCACACAGACACCTCCCAAATTCACACCCCAATTCAGACCTCAGTCCCATTCTAGAGTTGTATATCTCACTGCCAACTGCCTATCACTCTTGAAGCCTAATACAGACCTCAGACTCATGTGTCCACACTGAACTCCAGATCCGCTCCCCAGACCTTTCCTGCCCCGTGTTACTTAGTCCAGAAACCTCGGAGCCATTCTTCAGTCTTTTCCCTGCTCCTCAGCTCCCAGATCCAACCAAGAGGCTATGCTGCCTGTGCTCCCCTCACAAATGCCCCGAATGTGCTCTCTGCCCTTACCTCCACTGCCAGGACCTCATCTGAACCAGGATAGACAGGGGAGCTTCTGCACCCCCTCCTCATTCTGCTTTCAATAAATATAGTAGTTCTGATAATAGGAGCTTGTCACTCCCCCTCACACTCTGCAAGCAGATTCCCATTTCTTTCAGGAACTATCACCTCTGGCCTGGGAAGCAACTCGGAAGGCTGGATCTTATACTCTTGCCAGGGGAACCTCAGGGAAGGTTCCCAGAACTCCCATGTGTGCCCTAGCAAAAAAGAAATCAATCCCAACTTGGGGCAGAATGATAGAACAGAGTGTAGGGCCTTTGCCTTGCTTGCAGCTGACCTGGGTTTGATCCCTGACATCCCAAATGGTACCCCAAGCACTGCCAGGTGTGATCCCTGAGTATCGCCGGTGTGGTCCCTCAAATAAATCTCAATTCAAATTTGTTATTATTATTTGGTGTGGGGCTGCCATTGGGCCAAACTGGGCTTACTCCTGGCTCCTCTGTGTTCAGAGGTGACTCCTGGTGGCGCTTGGGAAAGTGTATGTGGTACTAGGGATCGAACTCAGGTAGGCCACATGCAAGGCAAAGCTCCTTCCCCACTGCACTATTTCTCCAGATCCCTATCACTTTCTGACTTTATAATAATTTACAATTTGCTGTGTACTGGGTATAAAACCAAGGGCTACACACATTTAAGTCACACACTCTACCATTCAGCCATCTCCTTGGCTCCAATAATTTACTTTGCAGGGGATAAGAGGTGGTATTACACCCTGTGGGATTTGGGGGATATTTTCAGGTCTCAGATCACTCCTGGGGTGCTTGGGGGACCACACCATTTTGTGAATGGAACCAGAGTTGGCAGCATGCAAGTAAGCTCCTTAATCCCTGTACTAATCTCTCCAGTCCAGGCTCAATCATTTTAAAGCAATATATTATGTTTAGGGCTGGATCGATAGCACAACGGGTAGGGCGTTTGCCTTACACTCAGCCAACATGGCTGACCCGAGTTCGATTCCTCCGCCCCTCTCAGAGAGCCCGGCAAGCTACCGAGAGTATCTCACCTGCACAGTAAAGCCTGGTAAGCTCCCCGTGACGTATTCGATATGCCAAATACAGTAACAAGTCTCACAATGTTACTGGGCCCGCTGGAGCAAATCAATGAACAATGGGAGGACTGTGACCGTGACCCCAAGCACTGATATTATGTTTATTTGTATTGTCCCACCTGGCTAGACTGCCAGCTCTTGAAGTGTGGTGATCTTGTTTACTGTGCCCACCCACTCCCAGGGCTCAAAGCCATGGCCGAGAGCCCAGTGCATATTTGCTGAGTGAATGATCTCGTCAAACAAAAAGTCTCCAAGGAGACAAAAAATTGAGGGTGGGAAAGATTGTACTGTAGGAAAGGTATTTTCCTTGCATTTCGTTTACCCAGGTTCCATCCCCAACACCCCATATGGTCCTCCAGACCAGGAGTGATCCCTGAGCTCAGCCAAGCATGGCCCCTAAACAAACCAAAAACAACAAACCCAGAGCTAGGGAAGCACTTTGAACAGGAGGCACAGGCTATTACATTAGCCCATGTAATACGCTAAGGGCACTTACCGATTGTTGCAATGATGCTGGTGCTGCGAGCGGCCACAGGCTCAGAGTCGATGTCCAGCAGGCACAGGTGCTCCAGAAAGGTGTCTGCCATGGCCGCCGGCAACTGTTGCCGCTGGAAGAATGCTGTGCCCAGCTCCTGGGTCAGCTGTGCCACGCTGGCCCGCCTCAGGTATCCCGCTGGCCCTATAGGAGAAGGGGCTGTTGGCTCACTGGCCTCCCTTCCTGTTCACTCTTCCTTTCCTAGATGCTTGCTCCCATCTGGAGGGGCCCTGTTTGGGGGCTGCCTTAGGCCTTCCAAGTCTCAGGACATGCCAAGGAAGCAGCAGCTGCTAACAGTGGCCTCCTTACTACAGCCCTGGAGCCCCAGGATGAGAAAGATGAAAGAATGTGACTCCAACCCTCCAGCTTCTAAGCAGGATCTGGGATCCCCATCTGGGCTTGATTGCTTCTAGGCTCCTGTCCTTAACCACCCTCCTGACACCCTCCTGCGGGCTTTCCTTAGCTGCAGTACCCCTGGCCATCATTCCTGATGGCGACTCATTATCCAATCACTCAGTTCCAGGCCAGAGCAATAGTACAGCAGGTAGGGCACTTGCCTTGTACACGGTCAACCCGGGCTCCATTTCTGGCCTCCCATATGGCCCCTGAATACCACTAGAAATGATTCCTGAGTACAGAGCCAAGAGTACATACCCTGAGTACAGCTGGGTATGACTCTCCCCCCCAAAAAATAGTTATATCTAAAAACAGTGAATCACTCAGTTCCTTCTAAGCAACTTGTTCCCCACCATTCTACTCCAGCCCATTCCTCTGAGTTTCTCAGCTCCTTCAAGGCTCTCCAGTCCCGTGGCCCTGTGGCCCTGCCATACAGCCCAGAGGAGCCGCACGTCCAGCCTCACCCGCCATGCTTGTCTCTTGAGGCCCCTCCACACTATTTCTGACATCCAGCCGGATGGGGCTGAGGATCAGGTGCCTGGTTAAACAGTCACTGTGTCCCCACTGTTCCAGGGGCCAAAGTCGAGGAGGCACGGGACTGCCCCGTGGCTCACCTCTGCCCTGCCTCTAGGGGTCACAAGAGACCCAGACCCAGGTCCATAAGGCCACAGGAACATGGACTGTTCAAGGTTGGCCTGACGAAACTGCGTCCAGGCCTGGCTGGGGGACATGAATCCCCAGAAGTTAAAATTCCAAATGCGCGTGGGTGATCTGAAGCATCAGCACGAACACAGTTCTACCTCAGCCCCTGCTGGCTGGCAGTAAAGAGAGAACAGTTGCACCCCCCCTCCATTCCTAATATACCCCCTCCTCCCCTTTCTCCAACGTGCTCTCTCTTTCTCCCTCCCTCCCTCCCTCCCTCCCTCCCTCCCTCCCTCTCTCTCTCTCCCTCTCTCTCTCTCTCTCTCTCTCTCTCTCCCCGCTCCCCCCCCTTCTTCTGTTGGGCTATACCCAGCAGTATTCAGGGTGTACTCCTGGGTCTGTGCTCAGGGATCACTCCCAGCAGTGCTTGGGACCCTCTGTGGGGTGCTGGGGATCAAATCCTGGAGTCAGCTACTAGCAAGGTAAGTGCCTTCCTCACTGTGCTCTCTCACTGGTCCCAGCTGCCGCCTGCTCTTCTTACCTCCTGGAGCCCCGATAAGGATGGACTTTGCTAAGTCCTTCTGGGACTTAGAGACCCATGACCAGAGTGGCTGGTGTTGTGCGTTCTCCTGGGTCGACATGCTTCTAGCATGTGGGTCTGGCACCGTCTGCACTGTGAGAGAGGGAGGGGGAGGCACACAACCGCTTTCTTTATCTAAAGGAGCCAGAGAAAGAAAAGGGGCACACCCAGCAGGCAGGCCACCCCGCCCCCACAGACTCCCTCCCCCAGACCTACTGTCTCTGCTCCTATATTGGGGCTTTCTCTGTCTTGCAGTTGTTTGTCCTGAGAGTTTTATCATCTATTCACACTGTCAGGTCATCAAACTGAACTGGGACTTTTTGTACCCCATGAATATGGCCTCCATAGTACCTTGCTGATGGAAGCCCAAGCTGAATATAGGAAGCAGAGGATGTAGGGTAGAGACTGAGCCTAAAGAAAGAGGACAAGAGGAGGTTGGAGATATAGTATGGGGGGGAGGCACTTCCTTGCACATGGCTGACCCAGGTTCAATCCCCAGCACCACATATGGTTTCCAGAGCACCACCAGGAGTGATTGTTGAGTGTGGAGTCAGGACTAAATCCTGAGTACAGCTAGGTATGGTTAAAAAACAAACAACAACAACAACACACACACACACAAACAAAAAATGGCTTTAGATTTTGAGGTTCATGAAGGGATCAACAGTAGTGCTGGAGCAGAGAAGTCTGTGCGGAGAAGAGCGAATAGATCATAATGAAGTGATCCTAGTCAAGTCTGGATTTCAAGAACAAGAAGGGACCATGGAATGTGAAGAGTTTCCTCTAGGGTTTGAGAGTATACATGCCAAATTTCGAGGGGTGAAAGAGCTTGATGCAAAGGAGAAGAAAAGTGACAGGAAGGCCTTAAGCTGGACTTAAGTGGGTGGGGGGTAGGTTGGTCTCTGATGCTGCTGACTGGAGCTGAGCCTTGGGGCACACGACTGTGGGGTGACAAGTGGCTAGTGGGGAGAAAGTTGATAACAGGCTCATGAGACATGAAGGGGGATGTTATAAGTAATCCAGGCAGAAGAGGCAGTGGGGCAGGAGAGGGAGCATAGAATTGAGACTTTTTGTTTGTTTTCATTTTGGGATCACATCTGGCAGCGCTCAAGACTTGCTCCTGGCTCTGTGTTCAGGAATCACTCCTGGCGGTGTTCAGGGCCTCCTCTGTGGTGCTGGAGGTCAAAGCCAGGTCAGCTGCATGCAAGGAAAGTACCTTAACTGCTATACTGTCTCTCTGGTCCCTTAAAGTGTATTCTGAAGCATGCAGGCTGGCGGTGATGATGGATATGATGAAAGAGAGGAGGGGGCTAACTTACCTGAGGATTGGCAGGCACGAGTCGGTTTTGGTATGTGGTAGTGCCACTCACTACTTAGTCACTGTGCCTAGGGAAGTCATAGGTTTGAGGAGGAAATTCAAGATTTTTAAATCAAATAGGCTAATCTTGAAATGCCAATGAATAACTAAAATCAATAGACAAATAGTTGGAACTGTTCATGGCTCTGACTGTGTGCTGGAATAGAAATCATCTCTCTCTAGGGCTGGAGCAATAGCATAGTCAGTAGGGCACTTACCTTACATGTGACCGATGTGAATTTGAACCTAGTGTACCTTCTGGTTTCCTGAGCCCTCCAAGAGTGATCTCTGAGCACAGAGCCAGAAGTAAGCCCTGAGCACTTCCAGGTGTGCCCCCCACAATAAAATAGACCTCCCACTCTTTCTCTCTTCTTTGTTTGTAATGCTGGGCTGGGGTCAAACCCAGGCTTCAGACATTCAAGATATGTGGTCTCTCCCTTCGCCTCTCATCACCAACTCCCTACTGCTATTAGCATGGCACCCTAGAAGAAGGTGAGATCATATAGGGAGCACACGTGCTGCTGCCTCTACTCTGCTCAGGGGCAGAAGGTGGTGATCTTGCTGCTGCTGGGTGCGAGGGTCAGAGGGGCGCCAAGCCAGGTATTGATCTGCAGCCCCCACTTGTGTGAGGTCCTATAGGGCAGAACTCCTGCCATGGTCCTTCTCTCTCCAGGTTCTTGGGATATTCTCCCTCTTAACTTAGATCTAGAGACTAAACTAAACTAGACTAAGCTAGAGACTGGAGCCGCAGAACAGCGGGTCGGGCACTTGCTTTGTATGAGGCCAACCCAGGTTTGATCCCCGACATCCCATATCCCTGGAGCACAGCCAAGAGTGATTCCTGAGTGCAGAGCTAGGAGTGACCCCTGAGTATTGCTGTGTGCAACTCAAAAATCAAATGAAACAAAATAAACTTAGATCAGGTCATTCAGGACAGATGTGAGGTCAGGTCCCATCCTATGTGACTTCTGAGCAACAGGCCAGTACCTTGGTACCAAATGCGCTCCTGAAACAGCCTGGGTGTATTCACCTCTTTTAATGAGTCTCTTATCCTAATGGAACCAGTGTGATATGATTCTCTGGGCTTGAACACCTCGTCAGTGTTAGGTCTGGGTCCTGGGTCCAGAGAATGTGGCTCCAAACCCTCAATTATCACCAGTCAATCCCGTAGCTTCTCTTTCCAGTCTGCTCCTGAGGAAAGAAAGAGGAGATAAAATGCCAGATGCTAGGGTTGAGATCATGGGTAAAACTTCCCAGGGCTGAGGAGAGCCTGGAGTTGTTGGCTCTAAATACAGAAGACAGAACAAGTTGTTGTAAATGGAGTTCACTTAAGTGAACCAAGACAAAGTCGTGGGAGGAGAACAAGGCCTTTACTTAAACTGACTGATCAGACTGGCAGATCTGGGCTGAACCCTGGTTCAAAGTTACGCCTAGGCTAGTCAAGTACTAGAAACATTAGACAAGAGCCCGTTTTGATTTTATTTATTTTATTTTTTGCTTTTTTGTGTGATGCTCAGGGCGTACTCCTGGCTCTCTGCATTCAGGAATTACTCCTGGTGGTGCTCGGGGTACTATATGGGAGGCAGGGATTGAATCTGGGTTGGCCATGTGAAAGGCAAATGCCCTACCCACTGTACTATCTCCCTGGCCTATCAAAAGCCTGTTTTTATAGGGTTTTACTACAAACTCATAATCATACAACTCAAGTAAAAATCTCAAGTAAGAAGACATAATTTTTAACAAAAAAAATCAATATGAAATCAAAGCTACAGACACATAGTCTAAATTTCCTTTATAACAAAATCCTTTATAACCCTGAATACAGCCGTGTTGAGAAGGATGTGGAAGTAGAGGCTGATAAAATCTCAAGGCCAAACTAGGCTGTCAAAACGAAGAAAGACAAAAATGACTGTCTGTACTTTCAATGCTTGTATGCTGGCATCTGATGCATCCATCGAGGACCTGATGGTACAAGTGTAAAAGATCAAGTACGACATCATTGGTCTGACAGAGATGAGAAGGCATCAATCACATCACGCCGTTTTCGACACTGGAGAAGAACTGTGCCTTGGAACATGCGACAAAAGAGGCGTCGGTGGTGTCGGTGTCCTTGTCAACATGAACTTAGCCATGAGCATTGATTCATTCAAATGCCTAACAACCCAAATCAGATGATTACACTTGAATAGATGTGGCTCACTGCTGGCAGTTTCTATCTTCGTTGAAGCTGGAGAAGTTCTATAAAGAAGACCACACCTTCTACAAGATCATTGTTGGTGATTTTAATGCCAGGATAGAACCGAGAAGATCAGCCGAAGAACTCCACATTGGGAACCATGTCCTAGAATGGAACAAACAGGGTGACAGACTGTCTGAGTTCATCATGTCGACCAAGACCATCACAATTCCAGAAGGCCGAATCTAAACATTGGACATGGGAGTCTCCCAGTGGACAGTTCCACAACGAAACTGAACACATCATATTCAATTGATGGTTTTGACTGACTGACGTTGCTATTATCCCAAAATTCCAAACGGGATTGGACCACTGTCTTCTTTGTGCAAAATTCTACTTCACAGAGTGGGGAGAAAGGAATGCAAAGTTTAAGAAGAGAACTCCTGGAACAACCAACCAACTGCAACTGGGAGCTCTTTGGCACTATTGCGGCAACATGGGAAGATGTCGTCATTGACAACATTGACGAGGAATACTGGTTCAGCACCTACATGATTGTGCAAAGAATGCCAAGAGAGAGATAACCACAAAAAAACGCCTGTCGGGGCTGGAGCGATAGCACAGTGGGTAGTGCGTTTGCCTTGCATGTGACCAACCCGGGTTCGATTCCCAGCATCCCATATGGTCCCCTGAGCACTGTCAAGAGTAATTCCTGAGTGCAGAGCCAGGAATAACCCATGTGCATCACCAAAAAAACAAAAAACAAACAAACAAACAAAAAAAGCCTGTCTTTGAAAACTCTTGAGCTTATTCGCCAATGTGGCTTGGTGCAATGCCTCAGGTAACCGCAAGCAAATGTCCAAGCTCGCAAAACAGTGCAGAGAAGCGATCAAGGAAGACCTCAAAGAGAGAAGAGCAGCAGTGCTGGTAGATGCGGCAGAAGCAGGGAAAAACATTCGTAATGCCCGCCTGTCCTTCACCAACTACAAGACCAAGATGACTTCCCTCCGACGTCCTGATGGATCTATCACATCTTCTAGAAGGGCAATGGAGAAGATTATTCATGACTTCTACTCAGATCTCTTTAATAGCCATGTCCACTTGCCCACATACCAAATTTCGCAGGATGGATATGTTGTTCCCAACGTCCTCCCTTCCAAAATCCGACATGCCAACTCGTCGGTAAAGAAACAAAGAGCACCTGGCTCAGACAAGGTCAGATCTGAACACTTGAAGAACCTATCGTCAGTACTCGTCAAAACACTGGCTCGGCTATTCGCACACTACCTGTCTAAATGCAAGGTTCTGTCCCAATGAAAAACCAGCAGGACTGTACTACTATACAAGAAGGGAGACATCCACAACATTGGCAACTATCGTCCAGTCTGCCTATTGTCTGTCATCTACAAACTATTCACTTGAGTCATCCTGAATAGGATTGGCAGAACACTAGATGAAGGACAACCATGCAAGCAAGTCGGGTTCCGAAAAGGATTCAGCACCGTCAACCATATCCACATGGTAACTAAGCTCACTAAGGTT